AGGTCCATTTACCAAAGGAATCTGCTGTATTGTTGTACAAGACAGGCGGTGACTCCATTGCATGTAACAGATTACGGAATGCAGTACTGTACACAGCTTAAGTGGGAGCAGGTTCAGTGGCAAACTGGACTGAAACTTTGACTTGCACTGTTAAATAATGATAATAAAAAATAATTTTTTGGTTGTTTTTCAGTGGGCTGATTCCTCGCCTGCTTGGTGACGTCCTGTCTCTGTGGATTTGTAACCTTCTGGCTCACCTCATCAATACATATGCCATCGATGACTCGGTATGCCACTTTTTTCACACCTCCCAGTCCAGTTACGGGTTCTGTATTCTGTATGTAGGGGTTTGGTTTAAGGGCTGTAATACACCTGTCAGGAAACCTTTACTTATAGGTTGTGTTATGGCTGAAGTGGGGGGTAAATGTACTGAAACGTTGTTTACCTACCTCTGAAACAGCATTTACACATCCTCCACAGTCTAGCCCATTTTTCTGTTATCAACTTTCACTTATCAGACTTCTGATTGAGCAGCTGGTAGCAGCTTTTGTTAAAAGTAGAGGCCGTCCAATACAGGATTTTTTTACCAGGACTTTATTTTACCACCACAACCCAAAAATCTGACACAGAACTACTTAGAACTGACAGTCTTTTCCAGGCTCAGATAGAGAATTAACAATGGTAATCTGTTCTTCTGTACAGATGAGTCATACAGGAGAAATCAAGAACTGCTCTCAGGCAGTGACAGGGGTGAGTCTGACAAACATAGCCGTCTGCACCAGCAGTATACAGTCTGTTTTTAGGTTGTAGTTTGATCATGTTCTTCTCCTGCTCTCTTCTTCCAGTTCTTCGCCAGTATGCTCACATACCCTTTTGTCTTGGTGTCAAACCTCATGGCTGTCAATAACTGCGGGTGAGTTTGCAAGTTATCTGCTGTTGTAAATCCTTGTAAGTGTAAGATTAAGCAGACTCATATTTCCACTGTCCCCGCAGGCTCGCTGGAGGCCTGCCACCCTATGCATCAGGATATCCCACCTGGGTGGACTGCTGGAGGCATCTAAGCAGAGAGGTAAATACATCATACCAAACTGTGCCAAACCACCACAAAACAGTTAACAGTGGCCGTTACGTGAACTGCAGTCAGCAGTCTGTTTCTCATGCTCCAAACACAGTGCTGAATAACGTTATCCTGCACCGGCCACCGTGCAAAGCTAGCTGACAAAATAACGTGCAAACAGCAAGCCAGCCAGATCAGCCTCAGGAGTCTGGATGAAGCTAGCTAACAGTATATTTAAAGTCACAATATGACAATATATTCCACAAGCTGTGCAGTAATGTTAACTTTGACTTTGGACTTTGTGTTGTCATCGTTAGTGGACTCCATTTATAAGCTAGTTTTGCACACTATAGGGAAGAGGAGAGAGAAAGCACTCTGGAGTGCACAAATCCGATCCTCATCCCAACACAGAAACGCATAAAGCAGTCCACAGGCAACAGAGAAAGTCAGGGATGGTCTTATTTTTTAAGTTACCTTACAACATGTTTACTCACTGGCAATAAAAAGTGATTCACACACAAAAATAATACGTAAAAAGCTTTAGAATCTTACATAGACCCAGTATTCTGCCCATATTCCTTGAGCATTAAACAATTATTTTTTTTTACTAAATTTAAACCTACAAGGCTGAAAATCATTGGCCTTTTGTTACATGTATACTGTAATACCAACCATTACTAAACACTTGTTTCCTCTCTTTATTCCAGGGCAACATGAGCAGAGGCAACAGTTTATTTTTCCGGAAGCTTCCAGCAGGGAAGATGTACGCAGTTGACCAGAAGAGATTTTTTTAAAGCCTCAAGAGAACTGAGCTGAACAAAGTTGTGATACTAAAAAAAATCAATATTGCCTGATCTGGGGGTTGGAAAGTTGGCACTTAATCCTTTTTTGTATGCACTTGTTTACTATCTTTTTTTCCCCCCTCTATTAACAACCTGCCATCATGTGAAATAAAAGCGCATTAGTTTTCAGTTAATTTCCAGCAGATTTTGATTTATTAACAGAAATGTACAGATTGAAAGTGTAGGGTTGTAAGACTGTGAGATGGGGCATAAATGCATTTTTAAACCCAAATGTACAAAAAAATGACAGGAAGATGGTTCATGCTGTCAGACAACCTGTCTGAGTAATGTTATGACAGACCAATGTGAAAGCACCCCCACCCGCACCCCCACCCATGTTTTTTTATATAGATTATCTATTGACAGTGACTACTTCATCTAAGTGATGAGATTTGTTTGTTGAAAACAGCACTTCAGTCTGCATGTGATAATGTCTAATAATACACAGGATAATGATCGAGTGGGACCTCTTGTTATGTGGTATTGTCTTGGTGTGTTAGTTATTGTAAAGCTCACTGCCTGGCGGGCATGTCATTAGAAAAGGAAGGGGTCAGGTGGTGGTGGTTGTTCAGGAGCATGTATGGATGTACAGAGGCAGGGAGGGGTAGCCTGAGCAGACCAGAATCTCTCGGCACTCTGAACAGTCAAGTGCTTGTATCAACTCATTCTGACTGATCCAAATAAAAACTGCATAGAGCCTGAGCAGCGACCGGTGACCAGGCTCTATTGTAATACAAGGAATTCTTTTTTTTTTTTCCAAATGATGCATTTTTGAGGGGCTAAACATGCTTGAAAACACACAAAACTTGGCAAACAGAAGTATCAAGAATTTACATGTGATATGGTTATGGGCGTGGCACAATGGTTCTATAGGCCCTGGCTTCAAGTTGAGTCAGTAAAATATAAACACTGTGGTCAAAGGTTTTTCAGTTATTTAGGTAGAAGGGTATGTCCTGAACAAAACATGTATCAAACCTTGTTTTCTGCAATATTAATAACACCAGCCTTTAATTCAAATTATTTTTATTTTATGACTGTTGGCAGTAGCTTAAAGGGAACTATATCTAAACTTCATTCTACAACCTTGTTCTAAAAGACAATAAAACTGAAGACGCAGGTTTACACAAGTGAAGTATCTGCAGCAGTTCAAACACATGTAATCCACGTGCAGCCAATACAACTTTAACACAGGTTGTTTGTGTCCAATGCACAACCTACTACATAACACCCAGAGCTACAGTAGCAGTGGCATTTTCTATGGAGAACAGAGTTGCAGCACAGTTTCTAATGCAGTGAAAATCTGTTTCAGAAACATTTCACCATACAATTGATTCACAGCTGTCAGCTGAGAGAGGGCCTAACGGCATTAAGTGAACTCACATTATTAGCATACAAAACAGTTCCACCTGGAATTTGCAGGTCAAACATCTGACAGCAACAACTTCATACAGCGTGGCCTTCACAGTGAACTTAACCGGAATTAATTAGGGCTGTACCGAATAATTCAAAGCTTCATTGATAATGATTCCAGACGAGTTTAATGCATGGCACTTGCTAAAACTGCAATGTTATTCAGTTGCTGTCAGCTGTTTTGCAGCCTGTGGTGTGCAGGTGTAGAGGCAGGAGTGTGCGTTTAGTCACACGTTGTACTTCGCTCACACACACTGCCAAACATATGGTTCTGCCCTGGCTGACTGCTCCAAACACCATGAAAAATCCTGGAAATCAGGAATTTTATATTTTACAAAACAGAATATATTTATATTTGTTGGCATTCGGCCTTTTCAGTGCCCTCACTCCATCCACATTCCTCCAAGGTGCTTTTGTTTTAGCAGAAATTAGCTTAGGTTTTACAGGTGCAATGTAATCCATAACTTGAGTTGCTGAAAAGTTCAAATGTTTTGACCAAATTGACACACAAAAACAGGGAACAGACTGGGATCCAGCACACCTGACAGAGTTAGTGTATCTACTGATAAATCCGATTTGTCTGGACTAACCAGGTACAGGTTTGGTCATCACACTTTCATTCAAAAACCTTGATAAGCTTTGAATGTATGGAAAATGGCATCCATAGTCTATTCTAATGTTAGAGCAAGTGTGGATGACACATCTGATATTTAATCAAATGTCCTTGTGTGTCTGGGAGCTGAGTTAAGTGCTTTATAAATAGACAAAGTAATGGAAAAAAAAATGTAAGCACACTAACACATGATCAGATCTCTTCACTCAGAATAACTGTCTATCATAAAGGAACCGTTACTCAGTGTTCCATCAGTTCTTGAAGACAACAAAAAGCATGTGGTACAGTGAGCGAGTCTTCTTCTACACTATGTGTTAGTGGCAGAGCTCCCTGCGTCTTCTGCAGGTTTGTTACCACTGTGATAACTGCTGATGTGTTGAGTCATTTCTTTGCGGTTGGTTACTGAGTGGCCACACTGCACACACGTGTAGCGCCCTCTAGTGTGCTCCCAAAGGATGCGTCTGTTGCAGGCCATACCTAATGGGTGAAATGACAAGTTAATGCCTGAGCAAATTCAAGTTGTTTCTCCATGACCAAACTATGGCATAATCAAAAGACAAAGGTTCACAACACCTGCAGGTTCCACATTTTGATTTACATTCAGCATAGATTTTGCAATTGTAACTGAGCTATCAATCTTTGTAGGAGCATCACAAAATTGAATAAGTTGTAACGGAGGTTGAAAGCCGGGGGAAAAAGTCACAAGTTTCTGTCATCAACTATGTCTCTGATGCATCTGAACAATGTGCAAGTTTGCAGAGACATCTGTTAAACTGCTATAATACAAAAAAGTTCTTGCACAACAGTCTCAGTTGATCATTAGTACTCTCTTCATTAACGGTGTCCTCAGACCTTCATCAGGTAAAATCCATGTTTGATGATCTAATGTTACAGAAACTAGTAGCCAAACATTAGATTGAACTAACTGTAAACCAATTCTAAACACACTAAAGATTTGTTGTACAAGGATGGAGTCACCTTGAAAATCACACTTTGACAAAACAATGTTAAAGGGGAACTTCGGCAGATTTTTACCCTAGTCTTGA